GTTCATGAATTTATTTTCACATCGCATTAAATCTTTTTCTTTCGGGAGTACCAGTTTTAGAAGGATTTTTCAACGGTCCTGATCAGCCGTCGGTGGAACAAGTTCCACGGTTAGGCGATTCTGGCAATACGACGTTTGGAAATGAGTCCATTTCTCGAGAGTGTCTCCTGGCATGGTGACCAAAATCTTGAGCCTTGGCGGTTGCGATCTTTGTTCATGAACGAACGTTCAATCATTCATTATCAGATCCGGTTCAGATACTGCCATCCATCTCTGGAGGCCAGACAAATCAAGGCATGGGTCCTGCTTTGTTTACAGGCGATGAATACGGACGACATGGTTTTGGTTTCTGTCCTAGATAATTGGTATGAGCATCTGTTTTGTCGATAAGAGTACCATTAAGCTCAAACTTGAAGCACCCTGTTTGTTACCTATTAGAATTGTTTCCATGGTGAACCGTCCTTTGTTGGTTTACGAAGCTACCACAGCGGTCGATGACGGTAATTTGTTCTTGTTGATGTTTTTCGGTATGTCCATAGCGAAACTTTCGGTTTTTGTCTATACTTAAGTGAAAAGTAATTAGCATAGAGCCAGCATGGTGGAATCGATCATCGGCGGTGTAAGAAGTAGTGTGCTTTGCGCCCAGCAGTTGTATCTCATTTTCCCTCTCAATGTACTCTTATCTCTATCAGTCTGTACATTCATTCATACACGTGTGCCTACATTCGTACACACCCCCTATGCATCCCTACATATACCTCTACCCCTGTTAACATTTTCTATTTAGGTATCATTCTGGAAAGGCATACGAAAACATATCAGTGTTGTAGATAATCAGGATCAGAAAGAATCCTCTCATAACTTTTGTAGCTCCGTTTGTGACACAGGTGACCGTTTGCACTGCCACAGTTTTAAGACCTAGGCAACTGTGAGGAATAAAAATCAAATGCAGCCGTTCCTGTGTACGTGTGGCCGTTTAATTGAGTATGTACTAGGCCTGTGGATATTGCCGTTATTCACGCGACGAATGCTTAATACCAAACAAGATTTCTGGTAGAGTTGGTTGTTGCACTTCAGACGCCATTGGTCAAAACTATTGGTGACCGTCGCTGTTTCTGACTGTCCGCTATTTCGGCAATCTGTACTGGACAATGCCGATTTCATGTGCGATAGTACCAAGTGGTCAGTTCCAGCTAGGCAGTCCTTTGGCCCCGTGTTCTCGGTTATACTGATCATATGCTCCAAACATTGCAACATCTGTGATCGCTCATATGGAGAAGACGGGCCTCACAAGCGAGGGCATCTCGATTGCTCCATTTCGAATTCTGTAATTTCCTGTTGTCACATCATGAACAATCGCTTCTTGCAAAAATTTATTTTTCAAGTGACCTCTTTCCTGGTCTCCTTTTTACGTGAAACGTTTTGAATTAACCTTGATCACTAGTATTAACCGTTAGATATATCTGCAGTGAAGTTTTCTTGTTTTTTGCAGTCAAACAGTGATGATTAAACGTGTTTTTTAGTCGTTCACCTGCAGCCTCTTTGCCAGCAAAATGTATGTCTCAAAGCTAATTATCTTCCGTCTTCAACGGTGTTTAATATTGTTTTAATTTTGCAGATGCATCGGAAAATTTTGGAGAAGGGCAAGCCAGAAGGTTCAATGATTGGCATAAGAAATGTAAAGGTAGGAATTGATTGGTCGCTGGTATATAAAATGTTCCCCTTTTTGATAAATGTTTTTGAAACTAATTTACTCCTTTCTATATGTTGCTTATTTTTATAACTATTTCTTGCATATAAGTTAAAATATTGTCTGATGGCATCCCAAAACATGCGAAAAGTTCATCCTCATATGTGCGACTTCCCTTCCAAAAGTCGCCGCCTTCAAGTACCGTTAATCATTGTTGCTTAAACCCTTTAAAATGAACAATCTCAGCATGAGATTACGGCTCGAATAGTTGTAGAGTCTGTAGTAGAATATCACCCTGAAGAACGAGATGTAGAGTATTACAGCCACAATTGATTCTAGCCTCGTTTATGAATCTGCGAACTAAGCTATAGGAGTCGATTACTTAAGGAAACCGTTTAAGGACATTTATTTGCTAATCCTTTGTTCACCCCTTTCATAAGGTATAGCTGCTGCACTACTTTTCCTCCATTCGCCATTGCAGCTACCACGACCGGATGAGAAAGGAGGAGCGATGGAAATTGTGTTAAGGTAGGTCTGCCGTAAAACTTAGCCTGCTCCTCATAGTATTGCCGTTATTGAGCGATATACCGGCGCGATCGTCGCCTCGGTTACCACATACCGCTGAGGTTGTTTGAGAACTTACGCGTACTGCGAAAAGTAGACGATCAAAGCTGCTTCATTCCTTTTGACAACTGGCCATGTATAAGCACTGCCACGGCTGCCAAAGATATACATGAAGGTAACGAATATACCAGTCAGTAAAGGAACCGCTACCCGTTCTGAATGTAGGAGGCAGAGAGGCTACGCCATTGTAGCATGTTAGATAGGGTTCCACTGGAACGATGCAACAGTGGGTGCAAATTGGACATCCCTTTGCTCAAAAGGAACGAGTAGAACGTTGTTGATGATGCCGCAAGGTACCAGTTGAATACAGTTGGACTCTCATCAGCGAGCCATCACGTTTCTGGAATTCTGAACTTCTGCCGATGGAGGCTTTTTTTACTTAGGTATCGACTCGACGATCCGCGCGCAGGCCGGTGTTGATGTTCTGGTAGAACCGAACCTGGCTGACAAATTCGTTAAAATGAAGTCTGTCCGCAGAAGAGTGGCATTCCTCAAACTGAGGTTGTAACTGTGACAGTGAAAGCTATGACGTTGTTGCCCGCTGTGTCTCGAACTCAGAGCGACCTACGGAGATGAAGCAGTAGGTATTCTGTGCGAAGTATTGACTGCGGAATCCATCATTCTGATTGACAACTTCAGTGCACCTGTCGCAATAGATACTGAAATGATAAAATGCATTATTTGAAACGATAACCTCAGCAATCTCACAATAGCGGCATGCAGTTGCTGTTTTCTGCTAACAGCAGAGACAAACCTTCTTCGAGCATCGAAGTGTGCATCAATATACTTGGTTCACTTGTGAAGAGGTATAGATATACTTCGGAAGTTTGCGCGTAGAAATTCAACTAGCGATTTGATGATCGTATGTCCTGAATTGCGACACTTTGTAATGGATATTCTAACATCGCAGTTGTGCAATTTGATTCCCGCGGTGAAAAGTCTTTGTCTTTGCGACGAATTCCCATCAGCAAGGAAATTCACTCCGGAATTAGTCGATCGGTAGAGCATGGGACCCAGAGCCGAAAGATCTTGAGTCCGAGTCTTGTTTGTGCTCAGTTGACCTCCTTCTGAGATTAATACGTGAATACCTTTCTGATACAAGAAAGGACGCAAGGAAATGCGCACTTGTTGCGTACTTGCTACCGATTCTGCCTTTAGAAGTAAGGCACTTGTAGCTGATGATATGCAAATGGAAATCAGATCCCCTTCCATTAACTTGATGAAAATGAGGGTGCTAGAATTGGCCCCATCATGTAATTGTAGGGAGGACTGACGTTCGAACGGTTGCATCTTTCTTTCATTTGTTTGTCGAAGGATGCCGTTCTTTGTTTTCGATCTCGCTCGGCTGTAAATTATGCAGACATGTGGTTGGCTTGACTCGTCTTCTAAA